CTGACTTGACTTTTTGTGGATGGCACTGGAAAATCAAGAATAGCTTTTACTTTCACTTCACTTGGCATTCTGATACCATGACCTGTAATATGTCCTAGATATTTTACTCTATCTTGAGCAAGTTTACATTTTATAGGTTTAATAGTTAAACCAGCATCCTTTATTTTGGTCAAAATGGCTTTCAGGTGACTTAGATGTTCTTCCCAGGTGTTTGAAAAGATTGCCACGTCATCTAAATATGGAACAGCAAAGTTTTCACAACCATAAAGGATTTTGGCCATCATTTTACTAAATGAAAATGGTGCATTTTTAAGTCCGAAAGGCATCCGTAGAGGTCTAAATGTGCCAAAACTTGTAACAAAAGTGGCTAATCTTTGAGCATTAGGTGTTAAAGGTATTTGCCAGTATCCCCTTGTTAAATCCAAAAGAGTTATATATTTTGCACCTGCTACCGTTTCTACTTGTTGTTCGATGTTAGACAAGGGAAAGAATTGTGTTTTTGTCCACTTATTCAATTTTCTATACTCAATACAAGGTCTTGGATCCCTCCCTGCTATTTCCACTAAAATCATAGGAGAAGTATAATCTGAATCTCCTATTTCAATTATTTTATGCTGAAGCATTTTATCAATTTCTGTTTTTAATATATCCGTTTGTCTAGGAGACATTCTGTATGGTTTACAGTGGATTGGGGTGTTTTCTGTCAATTGAATATCATGCATTATTAAATGTGTTTTTCCAGGCTTATTAGAAAAGATTTTTGAAAACTTCAGCAGCACATCATGCAATTCTTGAATCTCTTGTTCATTTAGCTTATCACTTAAGGAACTGTTTTCTTTAATGTCCTCAAAATCGAACAATGTTGGTTCATAGTCAATTGTTGGAAAATTTTCCTCCATATCATCAATTTCAGATTGATTTTCTGTAATCATAAGGTTAACCGATTCTGCTTGCCCTATGATAAGGTTTTAGCATGTTAACATGGTAGACTTGACATGGAGACTTTTTTTTTTTCCCTTCGAAACTCGCAACTTAATTAGTTTCGGATAATTTCTTCTCAACCTTCCCAGGACCTTTCCATTCAACTGCTAGTCTGTTTGGTTTATTCTTTGATACAATTAATACTAAATCTCCTTCAGAGAATTCTCTTTTGATAGCTTTATGATCATACCACACTTTTCTTTTGGTTTGCATTTCCAGCATTTTATCTGTAACCAGCTCTTTGCATCTTTTTAACCAATTTATCATTTGAAAAACGTATTCAACAACATTATTTCCTTCGTCTTCAGGATTCATCCATTGTTCATATAATAATGTTACCCCTTGTAATTCTAAGATTTCGACCATATACTAATTCTGCAGGTGTAAATCCCGTACTCTCATGCGTTATTGTTCTTAAAGCAAATAGAACTGCAGGAACTTGCTTCTCTCACTCAGGGGCTGCTTCCGATACATAAGAACTTTTAAAATTCCGTTTGATTCAGTTTTTCGATGAAATCTTTCAACAGGGTTGCTTTGTGGATAGTGTACTGAGCTTCTAGTTACCTTTATTCCAAATTTTTCTACAAATTCAATGGCTTAAACAGATTATTTAAAATTAATTGCTTAAATTAATTAACATAAAATTAATGTTAAATTGCTTAAACAGGAAGTACCTTGATCCTTTTTTTTAGTTTGTATTTCTTTTGGAAAACCCATTCTACTAAATATTTGTAACATCGCTTCAGTTACTGACATTGTGCCAATCTTAGGAACAAGTACAGCATCCGGGTATTTTGAAGCTAAAAAAATAGCTGTAATTAAATATCTATTGCCATTCAGTGTTATTGGTAAAGGCCGCATGCGTCAAAGTTAATTTTTGAAAATACTTCTGCAATAATTGGTACTAAAGTCAAAGGTGTTGGTACTAAAGTCAAAAGTCAAAGGCTTTATCACTAGATTTTCCCACTCTTCGACATGGATCGCAAGTTTTAACATACTCTTCTATTTCTTTATAGCAATTAGGCCAGTAAAAGTATCTTGTTAATCTATCTTTAGTTTTGACGCCGCCTAAATGTCCAGATGTGCTATCATGACATAATGACTTTATTTGATCTCTATATTTTTCAGGAATAACAATTAATTTCCTTTCATTTCCATTTTTATCTAATTTCTTTTTCACCAACAACCCGTTCTCCTTTACTTTGAAATCATTTGTCTTGATGGAATTTTCATTTTTAGCTTTGCTAAGCAATGAGGCTAGATCTCTGCCTTGATGCTGAGATTCAATTAATTCCTTAGAATTACAGGGTTCATACAGTTCTTAAGAGTCCTTAAAAGTCCTTAAGTTTTTTTTAAATCGATTTTTGGTCTTTAAAAGTCCTTAATTTTGGCCAAAATCGGCAGAAGGTCCTTAATTTTAATCATGTGAAATTTCTGTCTATTTTTACGACTGCCATTTTGAGTGTGAATTAGCAGTTTGGAGGTATATTTTTCGCGATTCACTGATAAATATTGATATTTGAATGGGTTATGCTTTGTTTCTATTTCTAATATAAATGGTGGGATACTCGAGTTTCTGAGCAAGAAGTGAAACAAGTATTTAGAAATTATTTCACTTTTTCTAATGAAGAGCTCTTAAACAACTTTTCGCTTTTGGAGCTGTAAATTCGTTTATTGAGCAGCTCTAAATTTGGCACTTATCAACATTTTGGCAATTTTTAACATCAGTTTCTATAGAAAATTAAAATTCCAAGATCTGGGAATTTTTCGTCGATTTTTTTAAGCATTCTAACATTAATAAATTTCATTAAAATAATGGTAATATATTGAAATTATATTTAAATATAACATATAACTTTAAAAATATCTTCTTTTTAATTTTTTCATGATAAGAGTTTTCTCGTGTAATTGTCTCAGAATGTGCATCAGTTTTCTCTATAAAATTAATTTCACACTTTTTCTGTCTTTTTTTTTTTTTCAAAATATTTCTGGTTGTTTGCTGTTACAAAATTGGTAGAGGTAATTTTTCTTCGGGACATTAGACATAGCAACAACAACAACAGCAGTTGCATTGAAGAAGTTTGGAAGAACCTGGAAAGTTTAGAAGAAAGAAGGATTTGAAGGCAAGATTTATAGACCTATGATTCCAGAAGATTTTAGAAAAATGTGACAAAATGAAAAATGTCTCTACGGTATTAACACGTAATGGATGTATTTTACAGAAAGTTTGCAATGAATTTCTTACTTTTTGGAGAACATCTGGAAGAACAATGAAAACATAATATTTGAATGCTTTACTTCTGATACTAAAATCATTTTCTTAACATACTTATCTTCCCTTTATTTTCTCTACTTTTCACTAGACACAAGTATGGAAAATATTAAAAATGCTTCTAATCTGATCACATGGACAGACATTATAGAAAGGAATTTTTTGATTAATAAATAAATTAAAAACTGGCAACTTAGAAGATTCATCTAATATGTCTTAATGCATCATACACAGGTCTGAGGCTAGGTGTTTTTCCACATGATGCAATCATGTGGAATATTAAACTTATCTCTGTAGACCCTAAATTTGCTGACTAGTGCCTTTATAGATTCTGCTTCCAGTGCTTGCTTTAAATTCTAAAAGTTCTGCCATTTCAAATTTCATTCTTTGGTGTGCCACTAAATTCTAAAAATTCTGCCACACCAGCTCTGTAACCGGCCTTTACCATATATATTTCATATTTCTTCTGAATTTTCATATTACTAAAATAAAATTAAAAGCTTTTTCTATACATTCTAAATGCATTTAGTTTTTTAAAATAACAGAAATCTTTAATTAAATCCAAAAATTCTAAAATGAAAAGGAAGCATGTTGAAGAAAGAAACCGAATACATACAGAGAAAGAAAATTATTCTTCAAATTTATATACAGGTACTATTATGTAAATTACCCAGTTGTTTATGATTTCAGCCTTTACTATAATTTACCGTTTTTTCCCCAGAGTGCAAATCACTTAGGCAGTTTTTAAACTGAGGTTTTTGGCATGTAAGACAGAATGTGTTTTTAATCTCCGCTTGCTCGCTGCATTACTTCCTGCCCGCTCTGATAATTTGAAACTTTTTGTTTTTGTATTATAACTGCTGACATTTTTTTTTTTTTTTTTTTTTTTTTGTTTTTTTTTTTTGTTTTTGCATTATAACTGCATTATAACTGCTGACATTTGAATTCATTATGACGATAGAGTTACTGAGCCAGCTTAAATTAAAATTAAATTGTATAGTCTTTGACCACTAGTCCACATTTTTTTGTTTGAATTTGATTGTTCTTGTTTAATTATATCACCACAAACTGTAATTGATTTTAGCATAAGAACATGCTTTTTAAGTTCTTTTTAAATAAGATGCTTATTTAAACCTTTGTAGTTACTTTGAGACGTAGCGAAAATTTGCTTCACGTTTATCGGGACTTTTTGGACGATTTAACTTTTACCAGATCAGGTAAACCCTCATAGGTGCATTGTGGAGGGGTTGACAAGTTAGGAGATAAAGCATGCAGAAACTAGTGAGAACATTGGTCTGCATATTGAGAGAAATTTCTAATTCTTAGTATAGATGCTTAAAGAGAAGGAAATCGATATAAATTAGCCAAAATGTCTGGCCAGGCTTCAAATCAAAAAGATGCATAAATATTTTGTTGAGTGTTGTTGCTACGAAACATAAATGTTTTGTAGCTTTTAATTTATAATTATCCCAATATTGTTTAAGAATCAATGATGTAAATTGCATTGATATAAATTGCATGTATTTTAAAGTGTGAAATTTTATTAGATTGTGACTTTCTCTTTTTGTCAAATGTTTTCCAGAAATAGTTCTTAAAATGGCCAGCAACTGACAATTCTCCTCTTTATTTATGCCTATGTAATTAAAATGATAGTTTTTATAATTGAATGTTAAGGAATTTTGTTATTGTATATTTTAATTCTTAAGGATTTCCAGGCATTTGTAAATTTTATTCATTTTCTCCCCAGCTGTTTGACTGGAAGCCTGGCAATTACACTTTAGAGGTAACTAGTGAAGGTGGAATTGCCATTCAGAATTCCACGAAACTTATCTTTGAGCATAAGAGTCATTCAGTTTTTATCCAGACTGACAGAGCTGTATACAAACCAGGCCAGTTAGGTATTATTCTTGTTGATTATATTTGCTTTATATGGTTCAAATTTATTTTGAAATTTTGCTTTTCAGTAATATTAAAAATGCATATTATAGTTTTTGTACCCGAAGTTAAATCATACTTATTTGAGTATATCAATAATTTTCCTTATGGTTTGTTTTATATTAGTTCAGTTCAGAGTTATTGTAGTAGATCCATACCTTCTTCCAAGATCAAATAGATTTCCTATTGAATTACTGATAAAAGTAAGTTTTTAAAATTTTGTAATGAAAGCAATTTTTTAATTATTTGTTTTATAATATAAAATTATTTAGTACCAAAAATAAACTCTTTATTATTTATATTTCCCCCATTATTTGTCTTTCTCTTTTAAAATGGAATTATGATGAGTAGAAGAAAAAAAATCTGATTTTTTTAAAATACAACTGTGAATTTAAGTCCGACTTATACATGTATATTGTTTGTGTACTAATTTATTATTATTTTTTTTTGTTGTTGTTTTTCTTGATAAGTAATACCATGCTAGGTCTAACTTTAATAAATCAAGAAAATATCTGATAATGTGAACTTGAATAAAATGACATATTGAATATTTTTTTATCCTTGATTTCATTAAAAAAAGCGTTTGATGTATTTTAAGAGAACACAGACTTAATATCTTTTTTATTAGAAATAACAGGTTCTTTGCAAATTTTTAATTGCACATTGTTAAGCTTTTTATTCATAAAAGAATTTTTTTCATAGCCATTCTGTTTGCTTATTTTTTTCTATCTAATCTCTCTCTGCTTACTCTTTCTTTGCTTTCCCATATCTGCTAAAAATTGAAAATTCCTAAAATTAGTAATAAGTTGTAATTTTTTATTTGAGTGCATTTTTTAAAAAAAATTATTTGTATGTATGATAATAATACTCTTAAAACAGTCTCTTAAATTACCTGTTTCGTATGTTTAGAAAGTGTAATATTGTTTGCTTATACAGGGAATGAAAGTTTTATTCGTTGCTTATCTTTGAAATTAATAAGTCCCATAAAAGAAATGTTTTAATGCATTTTAATATATATATATATATATATATATTATGTAATTTTTGCTGTTCTTAATTTTTTTCAGTAAAATTTTTCACTGGGATGACATTCAATTCTGCATGGCTCGACCTAAGACTGATGTCATCACGGTGGTGTCCTGTTCTTAAATTGAACATATAATCCATCAAAATTTTCATTAAATTTGTTAAGAACTTTTTTTTAAATAATGAAATAATAGACAAATAATAAAATATCAGATATTCCCTTATTTTTCAGTATTAGCTCTAAATTACTGAATTTATCAGAATTGATTTATAATTTTATATAAATTAATAAGATTATTTATTCTGTAAGAATTTTGAAAAAAAAGTGTTACATTTATTTAAACCAAATTGAAATTTAGGTAACTGTACACATCATTTAAATTTAATAAATTTGATGCTTTGTTTGCCATTAATTTCAATATATGAAGCCAGTGCATTTTGAGAGATTGAGGCATGAATGTTTATATTAAAGCTAAGCATAATCCAAGTTATTGAAATTAAAGTTTGTTCTTGCATATATTTTCAAGAAATTTGATACAGTTTTTTTCTTTAAGGATGCACATGGAAATGGTATTCAAGAATGGAAAAATGTAATTATCAACAATGGTAAGTTTAGTTTTAGATTCAAAACATTAAATATACTGATTATCTTAATAAAATGTTATAATTATTGTAAAACTCTTTTATAGGTGTCGCATCTGCTGAATTTAAACTTGCAGATCGTCCAGTTTTTGGTGATTGGTCTGTGCATGTTGATATTGAGGTTTGTCTTATTAAGTATTTTTAAAGTCTAAAATAGACTCAACATTAAGTATGGTACTTAACAATTAAATTGAAAGTTTTCTAGCTTTATATGCTTTTTTAAATTTTCAGGGTCAGAAATTTCAGAAGCCATTTACAGTTGCAGAATTTAGTATGTATTATTTCGGTTGTGTATTTTGATTACCTTAATTGCTTTTTTATTAATACATAGAAAGACACAAATAAATTTTCTGTTTAAATAGTAAAGATTATGATTTTATTGTTATGGATATGTAAAAGATGGTAAGTAACTTCTGTTAGTTATCATTAAGTTTTTGCTGCATTAATAGAGTATTGATAAAATCATTATACAAGAAGTTTTTACTGTTTACTTTTATTTTGTATATTTATAATTGTGTAGGAGTGTTGAGAATTAAGGGTCACTCTTCACAAAGAATCAGTTGCTCATTCTAAATAGGTTACCTTGCTTAGCTGTTGGATTTTAACTTCTGTATATCTTAAGTTTAAATGCCTTTGATGTATCATATGAGATATGTTTTTCTCATATAACATATGAGAAAATATTAATTTTATTGTTCTTTAACCCAATAATTATCATCACTAACAATCTTTAGTAAAGTATTATTTCTCTGCCATGAGATTTCTGTTTAAATAGTAAAAATTATGATGTATTCCTTAATGATTATTTTAAGTGTTTGCATTTTCAGTACTTATAATAACTTTTTGCCTTCTTTTCCCTGGTGATGATAGCACTTTCTAAACAGACTCAAAACTGTGCTAAACCACTAATTTTATTTATTTAATTTTCTAATCTGAGAACATTTTTGTCTGCCATCCATTATTTTTGCAGAATGTAATTGATATTAGTTCCTTATAGCAGCTCAAGAATCATGCTGATATCATATCCATTAATTGATTTTGTTGTCTACATTTGTCAGTATTACATTTTTATAAAATACTGTCTTACTTAGTGTACAACCTCAACTGAGAAGAATTAGCTCATTTTCAAATATTGGCATTATATAACCATTGTTGAAAAATCAAATAGTTTCAGTTTCATAACTGGTAAAACTCAGAGCCCACAATTATAAAAGTGCGTGATAAAAATTAAGGGCAAATAGAAAAAGAGGCAAATAAGATTCTGCCTTTTATTTGGGTTTCTGAGAGTTTTTTTAACATCACTAATAGTACTCATGGTGAATAATTAAATATTTTTTAACTATTACAAGGACTACCAGAGATCACAGGCTTCTTTATAAAGAAATATTCCTCTTTCCCAAGAAAATAATGTTTTGTCATTTTCAATTAAATTTTCGATTGAAAATTTTACAGCGGTACATGAAATTTGCTTAGTTTTAGGATTGAATTATTCTACTATTTTCTGTAATGAAACTATTGCTGGCTAACTAGTGGCAGTGATTACCAAGACATCTCAACTTACTCTCTGAAAAATATCATCTGCTTATGCAAAAAGTTTTTTAATTAAAGTTTTAAATCAAGTCTAAAGATAATTTTTTTAATTAATGCAGTAGTTATAGATTGTTTCGAATTTGAAAGCTAAAAAGAAGTGAACCAACTATCTTCTGTTAATTGGTAGCAAAGAAAAGCATAACTCTTCTTAATTACTCCTACACTCACCAAACTGGACATCTATGGATTACTTTCTGTTGCTTGGAGAAAAATATTTTGAGACTTTCAAATATTCAGAAAAATAACTAGAGAAGAAAAAATAATTCCAACAATTGATTTAATATAAAAATATCCAGAAGCTTTGTAAATGTAATAAAAAATTAATAACATTAAAAGAACGTCATAAAGTTATTTTCTTTTCATTATAATTTTATATTAATTTAGTCCTAAAATGTAGTAGATTCATTGTGTATGGTTCAACCAACCCTTGTATTAAGTGATTTTAGATACCTTAAATGCAAATAAATTGAAATACAGGTAGATTTCTTGTGGTTGTTTTATAAATTCCATTAAATCCTCCGTTTCCTTTCTTCTCTTAATATCATAGAATGTTGTTATTATCTTGTACAGTTTTTGAATAAAAATATTTTTATTCTTAAGAAAAACTTTTTTTATCTTTTTGATTTCTACCAAAAAATAAACTGGTAGTGATATATGTGATGTACCACTTTTTTTTAGATGGCACCTTAAAGTTCGTTGTTTAAATCATTCCTTCCTCTTCCGTTTTATCACTCGTTCAAATGTGAAAGCTGTTGTTTTTTTATGAAGTTATGGTTATTGAATTATACATGTATTGAAGCTAAAAATTCTCCACAGTATCACACTGTAAATGCTTCCACATTATCTCCCTGAAGCATACTGAAGAACCAGTTATAAAAGAAATGTTTTTTTTTTAGCCATGCTGCATGATATTTGAAATTTGTATGGCTGAATGACTTGTTAAAACAACTTTTTTAAAGGCCACTACTGCTTTTGTTCTGTAAAATTGGAAGACGACGTAAATTTAATGGAATTAAATTAATTATTGTAATCATTTTTATTTTTGTATTCTTAATTATTTATATTTATTTTCATATTTAAAAATACTGTTTTAGTGGCACCATTTAAGAAATAAAAAGCAGTAGATCACATACTATGTCATTACCATGATTATAAATTTGTCTTATACTGTATCTTTGCATTTCAATCATTTCCATTTTTATTTTGGAATCAACTTGATATATGCTCTGATTATAAATTTGTCTTAAATTTGTATCTTTGCATTTCAATCATTTTTAAAATTTATTTCTTATTTATTGTGGAATCTTTTTTTTTTTTTTTAATTTTTCTTTTAGTTTTGCCAACATATGAAGTTCATATTGAGTTACCGTCATATGCAACTTACAATAATTCATATGTTACTATTATTGTAAAAGCAATGTAAGTAAAATCTTCATATTTTCTGACATGAGAAGTAGTTTCTTATTTTTAATTGCTATCCTGTGATACAGTACATAATATTTTATTTTATTTGATACTTCAGTATGCATTTTATAATTATGTGGTTTAATTCTTAATTAAACATATACAAGTTTTCAGCTCTAACACAGAAGTTCTGAAAATTCCATTTAAAAAAATGTATTAAAAAATATGTAAGCTGAAAAAGGTTTCTTTCTGTATTTTTTTATTACTGTTATTATTATTTTTAGTTTGACATTGCCTGTGGGTAGGCAATTGCTGTAAAAATTTGTGAATTACCCAACAACTGTCAAGAATTTGGAAAAACTCTTAATTTGTTTGCAAATTGTCTTACACCATATATATCAAATGCTTAAAAAGTAAATAATCATTTATAAACAGTATTAAAAGTACACTAAGGTTTAATAATTTGTGATACTTAATGTGCAGCTTACAGGTACGTAATTAACATTGTTTGCACATTGAATATTATAATTTATTACTTTGGACTATATGTTAATTTATTCAAGACCTGAAATGATTAATTGCATACTTACATTTGTGTACAAACTTTTACATCTTTAATGACGTATTTTTGATATGATTTAGATCACTCACGGTAGTATCACAAAATAGCAATTTATTTCCTGTTTCTGAATGACATTTTGACTTGTTTCACTGTGAATTTTTACTTCATAATGACACTTTTTATACTGTGTCATATTAATGTAATATTTTCCAGGTATTCTTATGGGAAAGCTGTCAAAGGAGAGCTTACTTTGACTATTGCACCTCGTACAAGGTACAACAAATTAACTGTACGACCATATGAATCATTTCAAACTAAAGTCAGGGTAAGTACCAAAAACTAAGCGAATGTTTATGAAAAAATATTCAATGTTTTTAATTTTATTTATACACATTTCATTAATTAATATCTATAGTATATATTCATTTAGGCACTTGCTTGTTAACCACTATAAGAAACTTGGTTTTGGTCCAAGTTATATTGAAACTTGCTAATAATAATTTTACCTTCCTCTTGCATTTATGGGCTTGTTGTTTCATAGTACATTCAAAAGTCTTTAATCCGGAACGATCTATAATCCGGACCTCAAAGCTGAAAACTTTCTGCGCATGCGCATAATACGTTTACGCATGCACGTTTATTGTATAACGGATGGTATAAGTTAAGCTAAAATTATCTAATTATCTGTTTCAGTTAATGTTGCAGATTGCGTTGTTCCTTAAACTTCGAATTGGATCTGGCTTATTATTTTTTCAGACTGTTAGAGCAATTTTATAAAAGAAAGCTTGAACTTTTGATTATGTCAAAAAGAATTTCCGATTCTGGAGCTGCCAAAGGATCTACAAAGTGAAAGCATGTTTCGATGTCCATCAAACAAGAAGTGGAATTGCGGCAAAAAATGGATTAAGGCATATCCTTTGTTTCTCTAATCATTTCAAAATCTGTTTATCAATTTCATGCTGCTCTGGGGGGGGGACGTCACAGCGCGCAATGAACTGGAAGTTGATCTGTCAGCACTATCCTTATCTTCAGAGCAGATGTTTTTATTTTATTTGACTTATAATTCCTTACTAAATGTAGTATTTCATCTCGATGTACTCCGTCTTTGATATGATTTAAATCAAATTCCTCGTCATTATAAATATTATAAATACACATCAAATAGTTTTCTGGTTGCAATTTTCTAATTTCGACTATGCGTAATGTATGCTTTACGCATGCACATGTTGAAAGAAATGTTTAATAAGGTAACCAAATAAATATTAAGCTTTTTTTTTTTTTTTTTTTTTTTTTTTTGTAAATTTTGATACCCTTTAGATCATAATTGTTCTTTATTTCATAAATTACGGTTTCATATCTTTAATTTTATAATTTCTGCATGCCATTTTACCAGATTTAAATTGATGTATAATCGGGAAAAACCGATAATCCGGAATCGCCGAAGTCCAAACGAGTCCAGATTAAAGACTTTTGACTGTAATAGCATTTTATTATGTTACAAAAAATTATTTTTTCTGCATTTGTACAGATTTAAAATCTTTTTCGTTCTTAATTACAGTGAATTCTTGCATATAGAAGGAATTTTTCTATAGGTTCTGGAAAATTCTTTACATCTTAAAGATAAAATTAAATAAATAAACTTCAATTAATATTATATTTTGCTGTAAAATAAATGAAGTTTACAAAGGAGCTGCTAAATATTAAGGCAAATTATTATTAGATTTTTATGTTTGATGCAGCGATTATATTTTTTTACCGAGATGTATTTCATTTATTTTTTTATATACATGTAGCCACAAAAAATAAGAACTATCTTTGGCACACAAAAGATAAAAAATTTGATTCATAGGTGAAAAGCCAATATATTTATGTCTTTATTAACCTTCCAGCACGCGCGTTTAACAATTTTACATGAGCACGTGCGTTTAACAATTTTACATGAGCATGTTTGCATCGTATTCTTTACGACATCTGTTATTTTACCGTTTTTGGCACGAAACATGACTGAAATGAGTGAATATTGATAATAAATTTGTTAAAACATAAAATATTAACCATATTATTGAAAAATACAAAGATGTCACATTCAAATGGTAGTAAATTATTTTTAAGCACTTATATTAGTCAGGTGAAAAAGCAATGATGTATTTTATTATAGAAATTTAAAAATTTATTATTTAATAACTATATTTTAAAACCTAAGCTAGTTTTAATATTATCTGTCCTGTCCTGTTGATTTATCATCGAATCGAAGACAACTTGTCAGAAATAAAAATCTCTTGCAGCTCATCACAGCTCTTATTATTTCAGTTCCAATGCTCCAATGCCATAACTTCAGAACAAGTCTTTTGCATTTACATGGTGTCCTTTTTTTTATTCCTGTCATATATAACAATCTAAAGTAGGCCATCATTTCCACTCTGGTAACAGTGCAGCCTCTATCTCTTGAGTATTTTGCCTTTTAGTAAACATATCTATTTATTTTTTCACTCCAAAATTTCATCAAGCGTATTTATATGCTTGATTTTATATTCATATAATATCATGAAATGAAAAATATAAATATCAAGCATATTTATATGCTTGATTTTATATTCATATAATATCATGAAATGAAAAATATAAATATCAAGCATATTTATATGCTTGATATTTATATTTTTCAAAAATGTTCCCATTTCATCCTTTATATCCTTGGCATGGTGTTTTAGGCCAGGTAACGCTTGCGATACCTGGCCTAAAACACCTCACTTTTTCGTCTTTGAGCAGTTTGCATACTTCTGTTTTTGCCATTTAGAAGATTTATCCTTATTAACAAAAAATATATCATTGTCATTCCTTTTTTTATCTCATTATTACTATCATCATCTGAAATTTATTATTCAGATTCAGTGCTGATATTATTTATCTCTATATTTTTCTCACTCGGACTGCTATTATTCTCACATCCAAAGGTTTCCTTGTCTTCTTTTTTTTTTTTCATCAGACAGTTCTTGAAGAATGCGAGCAAAATCAGTTGGTTGCACATAATTTTTGCCATGAAAACTGATATAAAAATTAAAGAGTTGAATTTATACAAATTAAAATAATAAACTTCAATTAATAACGCAAAATTACAAAATATTTGACAAAAAAATATTTTCTGATTTTTCACTTGTGACCACGCGCGTGTCGTAACTTAGATTCAAAGGTATGATACGATGGAGCTGCCATGTAGTGCAAAAGCACAGTAAGAAAACAAAAATGTCATGTGGCTTCCTGTTGGCGCATTCCATGATTTGGGGAAGGGTTGAAAGGAGGAATAGAAATGACATTCAGATGTCTCAGCTACGATATACGAAAAGTGTGCATTAAAAACCGAATTTGTTATAAACTTTGTGCATAGCGCTAGTGCTGGAAGATTAACATGCATAATAAAAGAACACTATATGTGACAATCACAAAGAAAATCTGCTTTTTTTACCCTTTGTTATTGTTTGTTAAGTGAAGTATTATAAAAAATGACTGAATATGCTGATTGTGATACCTTGAAGCTGTTTTTAATAACAAATTTTAAATATGTAGTTGCTGAAATAATACATTTTGACTACTGTAAGATACGGCTGTTTATTTAGGATTCTATTATTAAGTTATTTTTACTTTCTTGTACGAAGTAAAGGAAGTATTGTAATCGTGAAAAGTTCCAGGTATCACATTTCAATGAAAATATCCATTTTGACCTCTATTAAATGTAATTTAATGATGTTTTCACATGACATCTGTACATAAGGACAGAATAACATGGTCTTTTTTTGCAAATGAACTATGAAACTGATATAAAATGAATTCAAAAGAGATTTTTTCGTGCCATTTGTACGTTACATATCCCGCATAACTCAAAAACAAGTGGTCTCAGAATGCTGAAGTTTTGTATATAGGACTGCTATAACATGTAGTTGTGCACCTGCCGTTTAGGTTGCAATTGGCTGCACCAAAATTATATATACATATGTGTGTGTGTGTACCCACTCTGTTACTTGACTCAGTGAGTTCAGTTTTTTATTCTTATATGTTCGTAAATTGTACATTTTTTTTTTTTTTTTTTTTTTTTGCTTTAAAAATGATTGAATTATGTTGTTCATATTTTCTGGTTAAGGTTTTTATGCCTTTAGTCAATCTGCATGCAATTTCTTTAGAACTATCAACAATTTAAAGGTTGTTTAAGTGCGGCTAAGCCTAATTTTTTTTAACCATGGCAGCCATATTTGTTTACATTTGAAACTTGGCAGGATAGTTATTTAATTCTTTTTGTACCTACAGTGTCTTTTTGGTGGTTTATGCGCTATCGACAAAGTATATTTAATTCAGTTCAATAAGTTTAAATGAAATGCAGGAAAAATGCATATAATTTAATATTTCATACAAGGAAGTCATGTGGTGTGCAAATCAGCTTTTTTAAAATGGATTTTCTAAATTAGCATTACCGATGAATACTTTAGTGGTATTTTTAATGAAAGATTTTTTATTGAATTAATTTTTAAGGGATGTAAATAAATAATGTTATCATAATTACAAGGCCCACCCCATTACAAATTGTTACAGTTGCATTGTATTTATAAAAATGATTGTGGTGTATCTTTTAGATCAGTGCTTTTATGCAGTGCAGTACAGATTTTGTGTATATTATATTCCTGTTAAAGATGATGCTTAAATATTATTTTCAGATTGATGGTACTGTCACAGTTCCTTTGAATCTACTTGAAGATTTAAACTTGAGAACTGATTTTTTCAAGAGGGAGATTGAATTCTTTGCTCTTGTAGAAGAAGAAGAAACTGGTCATAAATATAATTCTACAAACACAATGTGGATATATGACAAAGAAATCAAAATAGAACTTATTAGAACTTCAGAAACTTTTAAGCCTGGATTAAAATATACTGCTTTTGTAAGTGATGTGTTCTTAAATATTAATATATTTAAATTTTATGTGCAAGAATATACATTTGGAATAGTTACCTTTTTTATATTCATAATTTCTTGGCAGTCTTATATTTAAAAGATTTGACATTTAAACATTACTTAAATAGGCATATGTGTTTGATGATACAGCAGTTGTCAATTTCATTTTTAATTATATCATTCCATACCATTCTGAAATGAAATGTGTTTAAAATGATCTATTATATAAATAGGGTATGTCAGATGTGACACTTGATATATAATTTGAGTGACACTTGATAGTGAAAATCTATATGCAATAAACAAAGGTGACAATGTGAGTTATCCATTGCCTACCAATAATTTACTGGGGACCAAACTTTTGGTGCCTTTTGGCAGCAAAATCTCTCTCTGTCTTAATGGCATGAGACAGATCATTTCCTTTGTCTCCGTATAAACTCTAAGTAATAAGACAAATGATAACAAGCTATATCATATCGTCATATATTTCTCCATTTTGGTGATCCCTACATACTATCCATTGTTTTCATATAGAATGTTAATCATGGAATCAAAGCTGAAATATAAAAAAGAGGCTATCTTGACTCTCCCGATAGCTTTCTCCTCTACCTCTCCCCCCCCCCGAAAAAAAGAGAAAATTATGAATCAAAATCTCATCTTTGTAGAAGAATCCCATACATTTACTCTGTCTGCTGAACATTAACAAGAATTAAAATCATAGACATTGTTTTTAACAATGTAGTGGTGGAATTTACATAGTTAACAAGTATCACAACATGTTGTTTAAAGTTTGTAAAAGAAATGTTAGTTTATGAACTTCAAAAGTGCGTTATTTATAATAGACTTGATGCTTGATTACTTTGAATGTAAGCTTGTACAAAGTTTTCACATATCCGTGGAGAGAAAAAAGTAAATAAGTGAAAAGAATAAAAATAAAATAAGTAACATTTTGTTTTCTTATTGATCTTTGGAAATCTAACACAAAATTGCTGCCACAAAATTATAGTTAATCCTGTTACTTCATTAATAGCAGCCATTCATTCAAAGATTTAAATTTTAATTTTTGTTCTTCACTTTTCAGCTGAAAGTTGCCAAACAAGATGACACTCCTGCTTCTGATGGTAACAGACAGTTAGAATTAAAGTATGGCTACACTGTGCGTGAACAAGAATGGCGAACAGCATTTTATACTGTTCCCAGAAATGGACTTGTGAAGCTTGAGTTTTTACCCCCAAATGAACCAGATGTGACATTCTTGAACATGAGAGCAGTTTTCCAAGGTCAGACGTATTATTTGGATAGAATAGATGCTGCTCTTTCACCAAGTAATAATTTTATTCAAGTTTCTCTCATAACTCAAAATCCGAAAGTTCAGCAGAATATCGAGATGGAAGTAAATGCTACTGAGCCTATAAATCATCTTGTTTATAAGGTAACATCTCTTTGGGTATCTTGAGTTAATGTATTCACTTTTAAATTTTGCATCATTATATATAGATAAGGCAAAATTGGCAATTATCTGACTGAATTTCAAAATCCCCAGTCACATACAAGACTAAAGATGCGTTTTTTCTACTGTTTTTTGTTAGTAAATAAATACATATTTTTAACCATATTTAAATCAAAATTTATTCTTATAGGGAATAAATAGTTTTATTACTACTGAAAACATTTCTATAATTTAAATCCGTTTATCAGTAAAATATTTTGTATTTGAAAATATGCATATTTATTATTTAAATGTCAATTAGTATTTATAAATTAATGGAATATAAACAAGACAGTTAACAGGAATGTAAATTTGAAAGATTTGATAACTTAATAATTCAAATATTGAACTGTAATTAAAATTTGTACTAGTTAAATTTAGAATTGGTCTTCCTAAAATCTATTAATCAAGAATATTCATATTAAAAGAAAAATGTGTAATTCAAGTGAAACATCACATTAAATACAGTTGAGTATCTTCAGAACTTTAATAGCTCAAGTTAGTTCATTGGCTTCAATTCTTGATAACTACATGTCTAGGGTTTTTATAGTTCCTTCTTATCATATGAAATGAACTTGAGCAAATTTCCCTTTGTAAGTCCTTTACAAAAGCATCCCTCGTTGGTCAATAAATGTATAGAGTTTCATCACAGTAAAATAGCTTAGATTTGCCTGTTCTTAATACATACATGGTTATTTGTGAATTTAAATTAAATTTATTTTTAAAATAATCAGCTGATATCATTTTAGTATTTATTTTTTGTTGTGGTTTTCAGGTCATTGGAAGAGGCAATATAGAAATTGCCAGAACAATTCCTGTTCCTAATCAGAAAGTTTACCGTTTTAATTTTAAAGCGCCTGGTGCTATGGCACCTAGAGCTCGAGTTCTCGTTTATTACATCAGGAGTACAAACCATGAGGTTGTTGCTGATTCTGTAAGCTTTGATGTAGATGGCTTGTTCAAGACATCTGTATGTATACATTTAAGATCATTTTTAGAAAATCTTTTATTCAAGTTCCTTATAATGTGCTTACTTAGCTAAAATTACATGCCAAAAAACATACATTGAAGAATATTAGGAGCAAGATCTTGAACTTGCATTCTATGACTAAAAGGGAGAATATTGTAAATTACATAAATGTGCAAAACTAGTTTTGAAAGTTTATAAACTTTAGCAGCAGGAGTGAAAATCACAAAGGAAAAGTATGTGTCTATCGACAAATTCGAGAAAGTTTCATCTAAGGAAGAGGTTTTTGCTTCTTTCTTTAGCTGAAACTCAAATATTTTGTTTACTGTTACTGCATGAGCACATGCTGCTTTATTATTTTCACTCCTGCAGCTGAAGAAGGCTCTATTTAACTTTCAAAACTAGGCTTGCAAATTTCTGCAAGTTTTGCTGGTTCTTACTGGTTTAGCATCTTCAACACACTTTTTTTAAATTTTTGCATGCTACTTCTTAATGCAGCATAATTTCTTAAATCATTTTTCCATTTATTCTTATGTTTTGTGAATGTGCTGATCTTTTGTACTGCATACAAATTCCGGATAAATGAACCACTTTTATATAAAATTCAAGAAAATTATTTGTAAATGAAAAGTTGAAAATCGTTTTAATTATTTATTGTGGTGCTGGAAGCGGCTATGAGTATGTTGTGATCCTAGATGCAGCTATAGGATGAACGCTTGCATTTTATAAAACAATATTTTATTTAAAACACAAATAATATTAGCAAAAAAAATGTATACAAGTATGTGCACTGGTGGCTTGTCCACTGTGTAGCAGTGGGGAAAGAGAGTGTGGAAGAGTGACTGAAGCACCATGCCTCCTGAATTAGAATGCATTCACTACAAAGATTTCCCCCAGTGACGAAGGGAACAATGCCAATACATATACTAACTAAATGCTGTAAAGGCCCTTATTTTCGCAAACCCTTCATAATCGCGAAAATTTAAGCCTCGCGAAATACTTTTTTTTCCCACCTCAAATAATAATAAAAAATCAGAAATTTTTCACTTACCCAAAATTTAATGATTTATTGCACAGTTACAAGCTTTTTCTTGACAACTTTCTTTCTTATAACTACTTTTTGAATAATATACAACTATATTTCTCGAATATAAAACAATAAAATTAATAGAAGGCAGCTCATTCACTCAAAATACTATTTATACTATGTAAAATTCGCAAAATTTTCAACTCGCGTAATCACCGATATATTCATTTTCGCGAAAATTATGGCCCACGAAAATAACGGCCTTTACAGTACTTAAATAGATGATACAAAATGGCAAAATATATGATACAAATGACAGTGCATATATGCAAAATTTAAAACAGAATGTCAGATATTTATGAAGTATATGTTAAAAGAATGACAATTAAAATAATGAATATGCAATTAACAAATGTAATAATGAAGATAATATTCATATATACAATAATATATTGGCACAAATTTAGATTTCAGTGATCAGTCTTTTAGCAAAATGGACACATTTGCTTGATTTTGTTGTTTTGGTATCTGCAAGTGAAAGTAGCAGAGATTTGTTTGTCTACATTCTGTTGGTTGTTTTGAAATTTAATGGATTCTTTAGTGCAGTGGTCGGCAAAGTGCGGCTCCAGAGCCATTAAATTGATGAAATTTTTATTTTCATCAATTTAATAATGATAATAATTTTGTACTGGTGGCTTTAGAAAAAAAAAATATATTTGGAATGTTTTTATAGGCACACCAATTAACATGGCTACCAAAACAAAAGCAAAGAAAATTGGAAGATGAAACCACGAATTTAAAGTTGAGTGGACCAATTAACATGGCTACCAAAACATTGTTTTGGTAGCCATGTTAATTGGATTTATTCAATTAACCAATTTGGACCAAGAATTTTGCATTTATTCAAAACTTGAATGGACTTCCAATATGTCTTATTTGTAAGGAGAAATTCGTGCATAACAAGTCAAATTTAGAGAGACACTTTACAGAAAGCATGCATCATTTAGCACTAAATAACCTACTGGTGATGCAAGGAAGAAAGCAGTTGAGAAACTTCAGAAGAGTCAAGAGTCGTCAACTTCTGTGTTTAATAACTGGATGCGATCTTCCAGCAATATTAATATGGCAAGTTTTATTTGTAGCCAAGAGATTTCTAAGAGAGGAAAACTGTACACAGACGGCGAATACATAAAAAAGTGTTTTATAAATGCATCCAAAGAGCTAATCATGAACTTCAAGGGAAAGGAAACTTAATTTTTTTCGATGTTAGAAGAAGAACATTCGAAAACAAATTATCCATTTTTGCACAGGATTTTGAAAGGGAAACATTGTTTCACATAAATTTTGATATTGCCTTTACAGGTAGAAACATTGGGATTAAATTTTCTCATCACTGCAATTAAATTAAAAACATAAGTAATAGGGTGTTTGAGAGAATCTGTAGAAATAAGATCGCATGGTAATCATAAAGAAGTGCCATATACAAGTTGAGAGATTGTTGCATTTAGATCATTTTTAATTAGCTGTGCATATTCCTAATAACACCAATGGTAGGATTCCTGCCCATTTAGTATGTTCATGAGCTGTAAGAGCACATTTGGGATGCCTGTGTAATCTTTCTATCATTCCATTGCTTTAAGGATGATACAAAGTTGAATGAATTTTGTGGCTGCCTATCTTATTTGAAAGTTCTCGAAATAATGACAATTCAAAATTTCATCCTTGATCTGTTGTAACTATGATGGGCATTCAAAATCTAGAGAGCAAACTGTGTAAAAGGGTGCATGCATATCTGTTGTAGGGATAACCTCATCCTCAGCAGACATATCTGTTGTAGGGATAACCTCAGGCCATTGGGTAAATCTATCAATAATAGTCAGGCAATATTGATTGTCATCCAAGAGTAGTAGAGGTTCAATAAAGTCCAGGTGTATATGAAAAAAATATGCATCTGGTAGAGCAAATGTGCTAATCAGAACTTTAGTATGTTTAAAGACCATAGCTAACTGACATTTGGCACAACTTCGAACTTTCATTTTAATGTCTTTTCTCATACCAGGCCAAATGAATCTTTTGGAAGTTAAATAGGTGGTAGCTGAAATTCCAGGATGCAAAAGATAATGCAAATTTTCAAAAACTGTTTGCCTAAAAGATTTAGGAATGAAAGGGCAAAGGGTGGGGATGTTAGGTTGATTTATCACAAGACCTTCAAGTGGAAAATAATGTTTTTCTAACTTTAATGATGAATTTGACTGAAGATATTGTTGCACTTCACCATCATAAAGTGTTTTTTATAATCAATAGCAGGAGGTGGCAAGATATCATTGATCTCTATCCTAGATAGTGTATCAGCAATGATGTTTTGTTTGCCATTTACATGACGAATATCCATTGAAAATTGAGATATATAATCCAAAAGTCTGATTTGACGAGGGGAACATTTATCAGGGTTTTGCTGGAAAGTGTATATCAATGGCTTTTGATCCATGTAGATAGAAAATTTTTTATCTTCAAACGTGTTGAAATTTTTTTATTGATGTATAAATAGCTAATAGCTTACAATCGTACGTTGACCAATTCCACTGACTTTTACTAAATTTCACAGACAAAGAATGCTATTGTTTCCGAACTGTTATATGAAAATTGCATGAGAGAGCTGCCAATTGCTATGTTTGATGCGTCTGTCCATAGACTCAATTTAGTACCAGCTATTGGATACTTAAGTAAAGTTGCTTTATCAAGTGTTTGTTTTGCTGTTGAAAATGCTGCTTCAGCTTTCTCAGTCCATTTTAGTGGATTTTCAGGTTTTTTTAGATGGGCGAGTAGATTTTTTTTTTGTTTTTTTTGTTTGTATGCCCTTCTAAAAATTGTACGAGTGAGGCTAAAATGTGAGCAGCCTTGGGAATAAGCCTATGGTAAAAATTGTGCATACTTGAGAAATCTGCTAAGCTGAATAATCGTATTTTGTCTAGGAAAATTTTGTATTTCTTCAGCTCGATCAGGTAAGGGTGAAAGTCCTTTTTCGGAAACTCAAAAACCTAAAAAATCTAATGAGGATGCTCCTAAAGTGCATTTATATGGTTTTAGTGAAAGACCATAATGATTAAGGCATTCAGATAATGCTCTTAAATGATGAATATGCTCCTCATGAGTTTTGAATGTAATCAATATAACATCAATGAAGACATAAACAACATCTGAACCTCTAGTAACCTCATCAATGATTCCTTGAAATGTACTCGAAGCATTGCATAGGCTAAATTGCATTCAAGTAATTTTGAAGAGTCCAAAAGGGGTGCAAATGGGTGTTTTATGGAGCAATAGGAAACTGATGAAGAGTTTTTACTATGTAAGAAAATATTTTAGTACTGTGTAGTTCATTCGTAAAATCAACTATACTCGGAATGGGGTACCAATCTTTTACAGTCTGGGTGTTTAAGGCGCGATAATTGCCAACCGGATGCCAGTCACCACTTTCCTTTTCAGGAACCGTATGAAGCAGTGAGGAATAGTTGCTGTTCGATGGCTGCATATGACCTAAATCAAACATATATTGAATTTCTGTTTTTACTATTTTTAACCTGTCATGGTTAAGACAACAGGGTTTAGCAAAAAACTTGTAGACAAGAAGTTTTAATATAATGAAAGACATTACATTTTATAATTTTATTTGCACATGGAGGTTTTGTAATAGTAGGAAATTCATTTAACTTTTTCAAAAAATCATTATTATCATGTACAGTTTTGACAGAAGAATATCAGTAATATTTAAAACACCATAGCAATTCAATTTTGTACATTCATCAATTAAGCAATGATTTCTAATATAAGGTTTTAAATTAAAATAATGCAAGAAATCAGCATGAACCATAGCAGTTGAAACATTACAAATATAAGAAGGAAAAACAAAATTTCGTCTTAAACCCAAATCAAAATGAAGTGCCAATGGCGGCATTAAAAATTTGGATGAGTCTGCCTTTTTTCATATGTATTATCAGGAATTAAACTTTCATCAGAACCTGTGTCGATAAGAAAATTAATTTTCGATTTGCAGTCTCGTATAAGTCCAAAGCAGCTGCAGCTGAAGGACTGCGATGATGGACACATTGATTATATCATTTACAGGAATGACTTCCTGACCTTCTTAACAAATTTACTTCTTTACTGAGTTTTTTCAACTCCTCTAAAAGTCGAGATTCGTATTACTAGTAATATTAACATTGGAAGAATTCAAAACTGCGCTTACCTCGGATGGAGTAACTTCCAAAATTGGATAAGCCACTGCAGCAGCTTTTTGTGGTGATTGTGAGGAAATGGATGCCAGAATAGCTTGAATCTTTTCAGGTAATTGCTGTAAAAATTACTCTACAATAAGAGAGTTGGCAATAGTATGCGACTTGGTGCAGCGCTGTATCACACAAAGCAATTCGCTAGGCTTACGGTCAAATTGTTCTCCAGCTAATAAGCATCGAATTTGAGTTTTGGTTTCTCTGCATCTGGGAACGATATGTTTCTTTAACTAGGTATAAGGATCTGTCTTGTCAGAATTTATGATGATATTGTGAACCATAGATGCTGCATCAGGTGGGATATGAGAAACGCAATAGTTATACTTTGTTTTCGATTCGATGATAGGCTTAGGAGAAGCCAAATCGCTTCACACACAAGAAACCTTAAAGCAGGATCAGCATTAAAATAAAATGAAGACTGGAAATTTTACTGCCAATGTCTCCGCCATTGAGTGTGATTCGATGGTAAGCTTAACACAAAATGAAAGTCTAAAACGAAATTGAAAATTTCACAGGCTCGCATATAGTTCTGGTAATCACCATGGTGTATTGCTGGAAGCAGCTACAAACATGTTGTGATCCTAGATGCAGCTATTGAATGAATGCTAGCATTTTATAAAACAATATTTTATTTACAACACAAATAATATTAGCAGAAGAGCGCTTACAGGTGTGTGCGCCAGCGGCTTCTCGACTGACATAGCAGTGAGGAAAGAGAATGTGGAAGAGTGACTGAAGTGTCACTTCTTCTGAACTAAAATACGTTCACTACATATTTAAATTTCATGTATATTATTTTTTATTTAAATTTCAAGAATTTATTTAAGTTGTTTTATATTCATTAAATAAAATTATTATTTTATAAATTTCTAGAATTAATTAACCAGAATTTCATTAAAGCGAAACTTAGGATGTTTTATCTATCAGTATCCATCATGTGGCTGCATATAAGTTTATATTTATCTATGTATTTTTCTCCATACTTTTAATCTGATAAATGCTGTGATTACAATAGTATACTTCTCATATTGAAATAATTTTATTTTATTAGATTACTGTAAGCACTAATGTGAAAGAAACACAACCTGGTCGTTCCATCAACATTCGATTACAGTCTTCTCCTAATGTTTTAGTTGGAATTTTAGGAGTTGATCAGGGTACCTTGAAATTGAAATCAGGGAATGATATTACACAAGCTGAGGTAATTTAAATTTTATATTGTAATATCTTTTATAAGCATTTTAAAATATTTTTAATTTTTTGTTTTAGTAAATGTTGAAAAATTGTATTATATTACTTTAATAAATGGTAGATTTAATTTATGCAGGTATCTGTCATTAAAAAATTTGTGCATTTGTTGTTTAAGAATTATGAGTTGAAATATTAGAGATGTAAAATATATGCATTATTTATTTTCATTAAATTTGTTTCAGTGTATTGTTTTGTGCCCTTAAATAATTTAACTTATTTCCCTCATATTTCATAATCACGAAGATGGAATTTACATGTTTAATTTAATAATTTTAAAAGATAATAAGTTAATTTTTAAATTTTCAATATATCATTGACCAAAAAGAGTTTTAAAAAATATTTTTTATTAAAATTATGATGAAATGAATACTGTATCAGGGTTCTCATTGATTTGGGAATCTTTATGGAGAGTCAGAGAAATGGGTTTCCAAAAGATTTTAATTTTTTTAAAAAAAAGAGGGAGAGAAAGAACGAGAAAGAAAGGTGCACAGACTAATTTCCTCAAATAATTAAAATTTTATATTTTAAAGTGATATAAATAAAAATTGCCCCTCTTAAAAACAAAGCAGATAAGTTCATTTGTGTTTTCAACTTTTCTTGCAGAGAGTACAATTTCATTAATTCAGATAAGTTCCTCTCAGAAATAAGTAATATAATTTAGAAGTCACTACATTATGAATGGAACATAACTCTTCTCTTTTTGTTTCAAAATATAGAATAATAATATTTATTATTAATGACATACTATTACAAATAATTTCTTTTGCATTTTTACTAATTGGACATTTCTTTTTAAAAATTATGTTTTCTTTTTGAATGGATCTGGCAAATGTTTCTTATATATATATGTAATAAAAAAGGACTTTGCAATATTGATGGTGTAGAATATTGAATCCGTAATAAAGAACAAGAATTTTGATTGTGTAGAATGCTAATCCGTAATGAATAGGAAACTCTCAGCTAAGGTAGATTAAATTTTCATTTTATTTTCAGTAAATATGTTGCGGCCACAAACAGCTTGGAGCATTGTGCCTATTTAAAATTGTTTATCCTTTTGATAGATTTGCAATAAGAATAGAGCAGTAGACAGCAGTCTATCTAGGCCACAGAGTAACAATTGTGTCAGTTATGCTCAGAATGAAATCTTAATTCAGACTGAATTAGTTTTGGTTCTCAATGCATTTTGATTGGATGATTAATACTGCTGTAAAATTATTATCGGCTGTTTCAGTTGTAGTTCCATTTACATCATCAAAATTATGTAAGAGTCATATGACATGGATTAGTCTCAAAATGACACAGTGCAAAGAGAAATTACTGTTTTTAGAATAAGAGAAAGGATATTAATTTATGCTGCTAATTTAAATTATAATTTATCTTTTGCATATTCTTTATTTTTCTTACACATGCATACATATATATATATATATCATATTTTCATAATAATGAGTATGATTTTTATAATGCTCTAGTTATTTCCCTGTATTTTGTATTAAATGCAAAACGTTTTTCAAATATTGGTATTTAATTTGATAACTAATTCTACATGCTTAGTTATAGAAATAACTCAGTTTGGTCATGGGATATAAGATAAATTAAAAGTTAAAGTTTAGTGAGAAACCTATTTGAATAAAGTAATATCTATATTCAAATATATTGATTTGTGTCACCAAAATGATTTAAGTTCTAAAATTAATTTATATGTCTCAAGACTTAATTCTGTATTAGAAATTATAAATTTTATAAGTTCATAAAAATTGCTTTTGTTTTAGCTTGCTAGAAGTTACTAATCAAGCTGATATATTATTTATGTTATGTGTTAGAGACTGATTTTTTCTTACTAAAAAAATTTAGGTTGTGGAAGATCTGGAAACATATGATGGAGGTCAACTTACAAAATACAGACCGCCTTGGTATCGAAGAAGGAAAAAAAGATCACTTTCTTGGCCTGGATCTAAATCTGCTGGCTTTATATTTGCGGTATTAAATAAAAATATAAATGCTTCATTTTAAAATTTCATTCAAAATGTCTACAATCAATGTTGACATAATTATTTATATTTTTTTTTTACCTTGCATCATTTTTAGGATTCTGGTGCTGTGATAATGACAAATGGTTTATTACCAAATTCTGGAGATGAAGGTATTTTAAAATTATAAACTATTTTATACATTGAGCTAACTCTTTATAAAAAGCTATCTTGTAATCTTTTATAATACATGAATTCAGAATTTAACATCTTTATCATTTTGCAGAAAGCTTCCTGATTATTACATTTTGGGGCATTTGTGGTTTGCAGTAATGATTTTATGGCTTGGTGTGCTGGGTTTTGTGAGGTAACTAACTATAACATGTAAACTTATTTTGTGCATAACATTTTTGAAGATAATAACGCTTGATAAATTTCTCAATCGTAACTGAATTTTAAATACAGGACATCTATCCTGACTGTAAGCAATTACGTTTTGTTTTACAAACTGTAGGAAAAGAAAAGTATGCACTTCATTTCTACATTTGCAAAGTTAATTTAATGAAGTAAAAAATATGAATTATTGAGAAATCATTTTACGGTTTTGCTTAGTCATTGCATAATCCTTGGTGGTGGAATATAGCCCCCCTTTTTTTTTGCTTAATTAAATTAACTAACTACATAACTGAGGGCTAATAAGGGACTGCTTCTCGTAGTGAATATAAATTTAACTTGCCTTTAGTTTTTTTATGTTAAAAAATATTGTAAATAAATTGTACTTTTTTTTTGGTGTGCATGCATGTGTAAATATGTATGTGTGAAAATATATACCTTGCTTTCTATAGTCCTACACTCACTAGTATTATTGTTCAAAATGTAGTTTGTTGTGAGTAATAAAAATGAACAAATATTGCTTTTTTATCAGAAAGTATCTGTGTCCATACCAGCAGCTAAGTTTAGTATTATTGTATTTTAAAATGTAGAAATGAGGACACCACACTGATAGAATTCCTTCAAATCTTAAATAGCATCTTACAGATACAAATTCATACAATAAGTTTTTTAGTGTCAAGCAGTTAAAATGACGCCAGTTTAATTATGCTCTCCCTAAACTATTATAATTTGGCTATTCATATAAGAATACATAAAAATATAATAATAAACTTCAGTATATAATCAAATTTCAGTCATTCATGTTCTAATAAAACATAATTTTATTTCAATAACCCAGAAGGATTTCTCTGTTATGATTTATTGAAAATGCCAGAATATTTTAGTGAATACAAATGAATGTTATGTAATTGAAATGACAAAAAGTAGTCCTTTATGCCTAATTCTTTATTGACCCCATAGCAAGGTAATCCTTTTTCTTAGACTACTGCATCTGAATTAGAAAATACTCTTTTCTTATTGGCACTGTGGGAACTTAGATACACAAGAATGTGTGTAATTTTCAAGAGCTTTGAATGATATTTAACAGCAAAATCAAATATCATTCTGATCTCTCTCAAAATGGATTGAGTTTAATTCAAAATATACTCTAATCTAAAATTGCTTTTTTGCCGAATTTTAAGTGATACATAACACATCTTTTAAGATCTGAAGTTCTGATACTATCTTTTTATGAAATTATTGTTTTTTTAACGACTGATTCAATATCCAAGTTGTGAAAATTAAAAATTCCGGAGTAGTTGGAATGTTAAAAAAGCAAGTAAAGTTTAAATGCTTTCTGTCAAATATCAGTGCATTTGTAATGTATCTGTGTAAATATTCGATTCATTATCTGCATAATATTTTTTATAATATAATTTTTTTTAAAAAAATTTTATTCAGTTTTTATTTAAAAGTAAAATACTTCATAATGAAAATGAGTAAGCACATAGAGCAATCATTAATATAATTAATATGAGTTTTTAGCATTCTTCCTACATATAGAATATTCAAGTGTTATAGTATGAAGAGAAACTCACCAGAGTAAAGCAAAAATATTAGGCAAAGCAACAACATATTGTTTGATGTATGTTTTAATTAAGACTGTATCAGTTTCAAGGGCAACAGGTGCAGAATCATTATCATCTGGAGCAAAGAAGGGAACTATATTTATTCCAAAAGCCAAATAGTAAAACAAGCAAAAACTTGTTGCTTTGCCTAATATTTATGCCTTACTTTGGTGTGATTCTCTTCTCTCTTGATTTTTGCTATCAACTGGCATTTTTGGGAAAGTTCTTCCTGTTTTGTTCATTTGTCCACTTGTGCCATTATGTTTTTTGCATTGCCATTCTGTGTGTTTGCTGGATTCTTTCAATTTTGAAATTCTCTTTTTGATTGTATTTCCCTTTAATCTGCATTCATTTTTTCATATTTCCTTTTGCGTATTTGTTAATTCTTTGATGCATCAGTTGGGTTTCATTTTATATTGCACTGGATTGTGTAGTATTTTTATTTTAACATTTTTCTTATCATCATTTCATATTTTAACTGTTTTGCATTATTTTATACTTTTAATATTCATCACTTTTTTGTACTTATTCCCCTTTCAGTTTAATATGTCAACAGACTAGAACCGATTCTGAAAGTTAAGCCTTAAGCTTATAAGATTCTTGAACCATCTCCATTTTTTTGCTTAATTACACACATCAGAATATCATTCTCAAATTTATACAAGTCAAATGTAATCTCAAATAATCTTTTCAGATTAAATAAATTATGCTTAAATTCAAATTGAATTTGAAAATCGCCAATTCTACATTTAATGTTTCCTCTTTTGATCATGAATTTTCGTTTAGAACTGAAACTGTTTATAAATGGCATAAAAAAGGTCTTTGCTTCTAAATTCTAAAAACTCATATCCCAGTCATCTAGCCCATCCCATCCTGTTAACCTTCCCACTCTGAATACTAATCCCTATTGTTAATATCTCTAATGTGAATCTTTCAGAGGATCTGATGAAAGTATTAAAATATAACTTTTTAAAGATATCTAAACTTTCAGTTCCTGAAATCATTGTTCCTATTGAAAAAGCTTTTAATTTCAGAAATACAGAAAGATACAGTTCACCTTTTAAATACCTATAACACAAATTTTAATAACAAATCATTTGTTTCTAAACTTAACCAAAAGGAAATGAAGGCCTTACTTGGAATTCATTTTAATCCTCACATCATTATTTCCAAAAATGAGATCATTGTTATGGACAAATGCATACAAATTGATGGAGCCACTAAACTGATAATTGAAGGCCCATATTGCTCAATCTGTTAGGATTCTTCAACCTTTGGACCTTCTAAAAGTTAAAACAACTGTTAAATTTTCTGATAGTTTAAAAAATCACTCATTCCACCTATTGCTAGCTGCACAGGTTATTTGTGCTCTCCCTGAAGTCCACAAAATTGGAATTTCTTTTCAACGTATTGTTTCTAATTTTGACAGCATCATATAATTTGGCCAACTATTTAGTTTCTAGATTTTCTCCTTTACTTTTTAACAATATTTACTTTGTAAAACATTCTTTTGAACTCATTGATTTACTTTGTAAAAAATTCTTTTGAAGTCATTGAACCTTCTGAATACCATGACCTGCTTTACACTGGTGTGCAAAAATTAAGGATGAAGTTGAAAAATTAGCATATCAGCTGAACGAAGAGGCAGAGCGGGCAGAAAGACCAATCAGGAGATTAAGTAAGGTGATGTACGGTAGCACATGCGCAGATAGACAGGTAGACGTAATGGGGGAGTGTCTGAGTAGTATAAAGCATGTTGTTGGTGTAAGATCAGTATTTCTGGCAAAGAGATTGCATGCCGTATAACAGTTAATATCACACCGAGTTGCTGCCTCAGCAAGAAATAGCGAATAATCAATCTGTTAGACGACATCTGGATGCTTTTACCCGAGGTCGAATCATTGGGAAGTTGGAGGAAGGCCACAGTGTGACAAGTGTGGCTGCAGAGTTCGGAATTGCTCACAGCATCGTTTCATGACTTTGGAGACAATTTCAAACTACATGAACAGCTATCGGGGGGTTTAGTAGTGGTCGTCCACGAGGAACCACACCTGCAGATGACCTTACAGGCCAGAAGAAAGAAAGAAACAGGCGGCAGACAGCGGGAGAAAGGATAGACTAACGCTAGACACATGACAGGCGACTGGACGACCGATATCGCGTTTTTTTACCGTGGCCAGAAGACTGCACGGTGGTGGTCTGTTTGCACGACGCCCTGTTGTACGGTGTGTACCTCTAACCCCTGCCCATCGGAGAAGGCGTTCTCTGTGGTGCCGGGAACACCGGAATTGGAGAGAGACAATGAATGGGAACGAGTACTCTTTACAGATGAGAGCAGATTCAGTCTGAGTAGCGATTCTCATCGCATACTCATCTGGAGAGAGCGGGGAAGCCACAATCATCCCTCGAACATCATTGAAAGGGACAGGTATGGAGGTGGCGGTGTTCTCGTATAGGAAGGCATCATGCTTGGTAGTCGTACAGACCTTCACATCTTCGACACAGGTTCAGTCAACGGGACCCGTTATTGTAACGAGATTCTTCTTCCATATGTGTGTCTTTTTAGAGGTGCTATGGGTCAGCAGTTCCTTTTCATGGACGACAATGCACCATGTCATCACACAGTAGCTGCCGAACAGCTCTTAGAGAGTGAGGATATTGAACGTATGGATTGGCCGGCACGATATCCGGATCTCAATCCCATCGAGCATGTATGGGATTTTCTAGGCAGATGCTTGGCAGCTCGTACCTTACCACCAGTAACGATTCCGGAGCTTCGATTGGCGCTGCAAGACGAATGGGCAGCACTGCCTCAACAACTCATTGACATCCTCATTCTCAGCATGGGCAGACGCTGTGAAACCTGCCTAGCAGTCAGGGGAGATCATATCCCCTATTAAAGACCAGATGTTTCTTGCTGGACACCCATCAAAGGGATGTTTAGGCTTTCATTCGCATTGTGCTCCATGCTACTTTTTCAATAAAGCTTCTTTTTATCCCTCTGATTTCTCTTTTAGTAAGTGTTGCTTATATTACTCATGTCCTTACGTATTGGGGATCTTACGGTATTAAATGTGTTGATTTGGAAAGCTTTTGTACAAAGTTATTTTGAAAAAAACTGTCTCGTCCTTAATTTTTGCATACCAGTGTATCTGGTCATCAGATTTTTTGTAACTTGGCAAATATTAGCTTATAATTGATTATAATCTGCTTTCTTACTTTTTTTAATAATGTCACCTTAATGAATGTAAGTTTATGAAAAGAGACTAAAATAAGTAATTATAGAAATTTAACTAATAAATGTTGTTTAAATATATACAGGTCTTCTTGACAGATCGAAATCTGGTGCCACTCAGAGGGAAATATAGTTCTTCCCTACACTCCATTATTGTTTCTTTTGATGTTAAATCTATATTTACTAATGTTCCAATAGAAGGAGCACTAAAATTCCTTGAAACTAGGCTTCATGAATTCCATTTTACACATATTGAAATTGAAGAGTAATTTCTCTTTGAGTCAGCTTTAAAGGATTAGCTGTTAATTCCCTCAGTCCTATACTTGCTGACATTTACATGCACTTTTTTTAGTTCAAATTATTTGACAAACTACATTTTCTCTAGATTCGTTCGTTATGTAGACAACACTTTCAGGATTTTTGATGGTAATGAATAAGATTTGTCCTAGATTTTTATCAGTTATAAATTTGATTGATCCAACCATATAGTTCACTTTTGAAGTTAAATCTGATAATACAGTTTCCCTTCCTTGATATTCTTATAATCCACAATGAATCTGATTTTAGAACTACTCTTTATTTTGAACCCTTTTCTGTTTGTTTGTCTCCCCATGTTTTAAGTCATGTCACCAAGTGAAGTTAGACTATAAATTAAAAATTTCTTTCTGAAACATTTTTTTAAAAGGTCTCAGAATGAAAGTGTAATTCTTTTATATTTTTACTTTAAAAAACTTTTTAATCACAAAAATTGAACTTATGAAATAGTTTGCAGTTGTACAGTAAGATTAATTTTATGGGAGATATTCATAGACTTAATATAACATTAACTAGATGTTGCTCTAAGGTATGTATTGTAATTTATGAATTTTGTAGTTGTGCCATATAAATCGAACATTTTTGTAATGCTATTTAAAATTCTCTCTTCTAGTTTTTAATTTAAGAACATTGTAATTTTTTAAAAATATTTTCCTTAATTTTCTGGCTGGTTGACGTTTTTGATGAAATTTAGTTATATTTGCATTACTAATGCAGTGGATGATTATTTTCCGAGTACATCTGGTATTTTAAAAAGATAAAAAAAATTACCACTGAATAGGTAAATTGTTTACTTTTAAGAAAGGTATAGTTTAACATCTCTCAAAAAATAGTATTTCTTTGAAATATTTTATTCTCTTGTGCTCTTAAGTAATTTGAAAAATGAAGGAAATTTTTAGTGTAGAATATAATTCATTAAATTATATCATCCCAGCAGAAGCATAATTTAAAATTTATTTTTTACTAGATTTATTCCGTGAAAATGTCATACGCATTGATGAAAATATTAACAACACACCCATTCAACCACCAGCTGAGCTTCCTGAAGCTGTAGTTCCTGAAGGACGTCTAGTTATTAGAAAGCTGTATCCTGAAACTTGGCTGTGGATTAATATAACAACAGGGTTGTTCTGAATAATTATTTTTTCCTATTATATATGAATAATAGAATAGAATTACTTTCTTTATTACCAGATATTCATATATTTTTTTAAACATGTAAAAAATTATTTTTAACAAAGCATTAATAAATTTATGTCTTTATTATAAATTGTAGACACAGATATCACAGCTTTTTTTTTTTTTTTTTTCATTCATTCCATGAAGCATAAAGTTTAGGTTTAGTTTCTTAGTTCCTCGTATTTCAGACCTTAACCAAGCTAAACAAAAATCCTTTACTCTTGAAAAATGTTCTGTAATAGTCATAATTTGTATCTGTAATTAATGTATTATTAGTCTATAAAACTCTATTGTAATTATAATTTTATTATTACTGTTTATTTCCTTTTTTAAATGCAGATGATTTTGTATAAAGCAAAAGCAGTGTTTGAGAATTTTGTATTGTATAAATTATTTTAAGTGATAATCATAAGGAATTGTAACCTGTTTTCCATTTGTGTTCTCATTTTTCGTGCATATTTATTATTATTAGGAGTGATGGGACTGCTTCAGTTTCTCATTCTGTGCCTGATTTTTTGTCTACATACATCATTACTGCATTTGCAGTACATTCTTCAGATGGCTTAGGTATTGCTACGTCTCCATCTCCAGTAAGTATTATAAGTTTCAAAATTAAACTTTATTGAAATATTTTAAAATATATTAATCTATAGTCTCTATAATATATTAATTTATATTAATGTTAGTTATACTTTTCTTATATTATCTGCAAAAAATCTTAATGCTTTAAATAAAATCATTCTCTTTTCATTTACTCATAGAAAAGTTTCTTCTTAAAAAAAAGGCATGCTTATAAAATCTTGAATTCGTTGCATTAATATTTGCTTTACTAAAGATAATAAAGTTTAAAGATTCATTCCCTATGAAAAGATTTATTTTTTGAAATGCACTAATTACAATTAAATTGCAAATAACTGTCAGGTAGAACAGGTATAAATTTATCTAAATAGTGAAATAGTAGTAAAGAATAATTAGAAAAAATAGGATTAATAAAGAGAGTTAATTTTACTATTCCTTCTTAAAAAGGAGTATGTCCTTATGCTTTGTGGGTTTGTTTTGCTTCCAGTTTTATTTATTTATTTATTTATTTTGTCTGATTTTAAATGACCAAACTTGTTCAATCACTTTTAGTTTCCTTTTCTGACTCATATGAAATTATTTACTTTATTATATTTTAATATTCATTGTATGAGTAGTGAGTTGAGCAATTTGCATTGCATTTTGCGTCGGTTTCCATAAAAAAAAATAACCATTCACTTTTAAGTGTTTTAAAGGAAAAAGTTCTTTCTATATTTCAATTCGGACATTATAACTTATTTATCATTTTCATTAAAACTACATTTTGATCTGTTGATTTCCTTTCTGAAAAAGAGAAGAATTAAGAAAATATGTGATAATTAAGAAGAGTTACATTTTTACAAATAATTTTTTGTAATTTTGAGGTAATCAAAATTAAATTCGATAACTATTATTGAAGTTATATTAAATTTAAAAGTCAGTTTTTTAAATTTTACTTTAAAATTAATTTTCTAATTAATCAGTCTTTCTCTAAAATCTAATTAATATCAAAAGTAAACAAATGTGATTTATATTATTTTATTTTGTAAAGCAAATTCATAAAAAATTTAAAGTACATGTTTATTAGATTAGTTGGATGCAACGTGACAAATGGTGATTTATGTGCCCACAATTATCATGTTGGCAAGAGATTAAAAACTTACGTACTAAGTTGCCATATCAAACATAACCAATAGTTAAAGTTTTATATTTTAAACAAGCATTTCTATGCATAAAGCTACTGATAAATAATTTTTTTAGGATGAAAGTTTGAAATTTAGCTTTCTGTGAAGGCATTGTAAATTTAAGTGGAGAAAAACAGATTCTGCTATTGAATACGAAAACAATCAGAGAATGAAGCTTTATTTCACATCAATGTAGTTTATCATTATGCCTTGTAGGGGATGGGGGTCTCTTCTCATAAATGCCTAATTTACTTGAGGTGATGGACTGACATTTGTAAAGTTACAAAGACTAAATCATGAAAGGTTCAAATTATTGGAAATCGTAGTATCCAACAAAAATAGAAACAATTGGATCTGGATATTTCAAAGTTTATCAATACAATTTTGTAGATCGAGAAATCATTGAACTCTCAAAAGACTGAACAACGGTGGGTAAACAAGGAATGGTGAAACCAAATTTCTCCAATGACAAGAAAAATTATATGCATTTGAAAACATTTTGAAGCATATTAAATTCTATTACTAAATATTTTTTATCAACTTATGAAGGTGGGTCAAATGAAAGCCTTGAATATTTTTTACATGCCATTTATCGAACGGTGGTGGAACATAAGTGTATCACTTAATCAGCATAGTCTCCCTGATGTGTAACACATTTCCTTCGGTGCACAGGAAGTACACAGATTCCTCTGCGAAAAAATTCTTGTGGTCATGTGCGTAGCCACTTGTGCACCACCTAGTGCACCTCTTCATCGCAACAAAATTTCTTCCCTTCTATCACCTCTTTGAGTGATCCAAATATAGGGTAATTACTTGGGGTGGGGTTTAGTGAGTATGGTTGATGCAAAAAAGTTTCAAAGTGAGGGTCAGTGATGGTTGCAACTGTTGCATAAGCTGTATGAGGTTGAGCATTGTCGTACTGCAAAATGAAATTTCTAGTCAGATGCCCATGCCGCTTTAAGCAATTGCAGGCCAAATATATGTTGAAAAAAACATGCTGTTGATCCCGTAGGCATGTAGTGTTTCAAGATAATGCCTCGTTCATTCCACAAGAAAATCAGCATAACCTGCACTCGGAACTTCTTAAAAGTTTTGGTAATGAATATCAACATTCCTTGCTTGCTTTCTTGGTTTGGGGTTGGTGTTAGAGGATAGGTTTCGTCTCCTGTAATGATTCTTGCAAAGAAGCCATCACTTTCTGGTTCAAAGAGCCGATAAAGTTCTTCTCAGGTATCATCATGTCACTCTTTCAGTTCTGGAGCAAGATGCTGTGGAATCCACTTTGCAGACAGTTTGTGAAATTCAAGTATGTCATGAATAATGTGATCTGCTGAGCCATGACTAATGTTCAGATTTCAACTAATTCATCTACCATCATGTGCTGATTGTCCATCACAATGGCTTCAGCTGCTGCAGTAAACTCAATACTGTGTGCTTGACTTGGGCAGGGAGCATCTGTCACAGAACTCGCATTGTTTCTGAACTCCCTACTCCACTTGCTGCCGGGATAAAAATGCCTCACATACTGGATTTTCATTTGCCAAAGGATTTCAATAGGCTTCAGTGCTCAGAAAGCATATGACAGAACCAGAGCCATGCCTAGATATTTTTTCTCTTGAGGCAAAGTTGTCAATGTGCACTTCTGTATAAACCAAATTAACTGTATCTATACACTTCAATATTCAATAAAGGTAACTATATTAAATCATACCGTAATTTTTATATTTTTTATTTCTAACTTTTATATATTCAGAAAATTTATAATTTTTAAATTAAAACATTAAAGAGTACCTTTTTGATAAATAGCAAGCAGCAGTAAAATGATACTGCTGATATAAGTAATACAATTGACATAAAACTATTACATTAAAATCAAAGCTTTTTTTCCTTGCGTTCAAGCCCTTCTTGCATTCAACAGATTTTCCCATGCTGTGTATAGGCTACTCAAAGTTTCCTCTACTCGTTTACCCATACAGCATATGTGAATCGATATTTTCTGAGTTTCTTCTTTTGTATTTCATTTATTTTTAATATTGTATAAATCATTTATTTAGTTCCAATATGTTTCAATAGATAGCAAAATTTGTCCGTGCTATTTTAAAGGTTTCATTAGTCTTTTTTTTTTTCTATAACTGGAAATTTTCTCGTCTCGTGAAACTTTTATTCTGTTGTATGCAAGGTTTTCGTTTTCTTGAACATTTTTCTTTAAGGAATTGTGGAAGAATATGATGAAAATACTTTGTCAACTGAATTCTGATACAAATTTAGAGATGTCTTTCAGTTGCCTGGATTCTTCTTCATGTGATTCGTGTAGTGAGCTCAGTTCTTTGTAGATTTGAGTTGTGTTAGAAATTTTACTGAAGCTGGTGTTAAAAATCTTCCAGTTACATGCTCTTAGTTTAATTTTACTAGTATTCCATCTGTTCACAGACAAGTTGACGATATTTTGGACCATAAAAGTGAAGCAGCAACCTGTGTTAGACAAAGATTTTTAGCATAGAAACTCAACTTAGGAACAGCACTTTATCCTACGGCCGGCATCTTTGGAACAACATCTTTCCAACTTAGGAACAGCATCTTATCCTATGGCCAGCATCTTTGGAACAACATCTTTCCAACTTAGGAACAGCATCTTGTCCTTTGGAGAAATATTTAGTTTTGTATTTTCTCTTTCTTTTTGTATTTTACTTTTTAATAATATTATAAGGATGTTAAGTTTTACTAACATTTATTTTATTTTAAAACTTTACTGTCCTCTCTTATTTTCCACTTCCGGATAGAATAAATGCATCAGTCTGTTTATGCAAATTGTGCTTCACAACTCTTTTAAGTATTTAAGTCATGGCTTTTCGCCAAGTAGAGAGAGAGAGAGTAAGCCTTCTCACCACTTTATTTCACACATGCTTTCAGTCAGTTGCTGTCCGTCTTTAAGGCCAGAGGTTTAGTTCTCTTGATATTGAAGATGTATTGTAGTTCTCGCGCAGTTAGCATTCTACATATGTAAAAATCTAAAAGGCCAATCTTAGTGTTACTAGTCGGTGTAAAGTATTCGGGTTTAGCTCTTATTTAAATTTAGTTAGCTTGTAGTTTTTATTTTCTTACGTTCAGACCACAAGTGGCAGTCTTTGTAGCCCAAAATGTGGGAGCACCTGTGAATTGTGAAGAATAAAGGGTAGTTACACACTTCCTTTTTCTTGTTATCTCTTTTATAGTTTAGGTAAACTCACTGTTCTACTCAGGACACTTACATGTTTCCAAAACAGATAAGAAGAAATAGTAGTCCTAATAATATTAACACTGTAAAAAATTCTTGTGAAGTCGTTGCTTAAACTTAAAGATATTTCTGCCCTGCACTCCATTATTGTTTCACTCGAAGTTAAATCTATGTTAACTAATATTCCAGTCGAAGGATCACTTAATTGCCTTGAAACTAAGCTTCGAGAATTCCATTTCTTGCATTGAAATTAAAGAGTTAATTTCACTTACTAAAGTATGTTTGAGTCAAACTCACTTTGTTTTCCAAAATAAATATTATCGCCAAATCGAAGGATTAGCTGTGGGTAATTCCTTCAGTCCTATACTTGCTGATATGTACATGCACTATTTTGAAGTCAAATTATGTGAGAAACTATCTTTTCTTCTCTTGATTCCCTACACTGACAAAACTTTTGCGCTTTTTGATGGTAACAAAGAAGACTTATCACATATTTTATTAATTTGATTGATCCATCCATCCAGTTCAAATTTGAATCTGAGAATACTCTTCCTTTCTTTGATATTCTTATAATCTGCAATGAATCTGTTTTCAGCACTACCGCTTACTGTAAACCCTTTTCTGTTTATCAGCC